CTTTATTGTAATAATTTATACATGTAAAATATCTATAAAAGCATTACTTTCTGACCCTTCAAGAAAGTTAAGTGTCTCCATACACTTCAATAAGAAGTGTCATTATACATTTCATAGTTAATAAACTAAATACAATATTTAGTATCTTTATATACTATCTATTGTTGCCTCTGCCTTAAAATTCTAAATCACTCTGTATTTTGTTAAAGTCTTGTGTAGACATTTGTATAGAATCTGTCAAGTTATAATTATCATACTATAGTTGATTAGTTTCTGTTATCACTGTGATTAAAGGAAAAACTACAGGTTAATACTATTTTGTGATTATTTTTCATAATCTTTTCTGCTTCTTTAATTTCTGCTTTTTGCAAATTTGAGACTAAGCTATCTAATATTATATATAATTAATTCTTGTCACTGCTTCTTCATTTGACTAAGTATATCATTGATTTATTAGATGCATATCTCTATATATATCTTTAAAGTCTTGTTTTTTTATTTAATTAAAAATAAGCAGTCATTTGTAAGTTATTATTTGTGAATATTGTCTATCTAAAATATTGTCTATTATATGATTAAAATTATTTATTATAATAATTTGTGTTTGTTTTTTTTTTAAAAAAACTGTTTTTACAATCTTTTACTAAATGTTTTTCTCTATTATCTTGTTATTTAGTAGTATATAAATTATAATTATTACTAACTCTAATTGTTTGAAGTATAATATAATCTCTATTATATATTCACTTATTTTCTAACTGCACCTATATCTTTTTTCATTGCTTATTGACTATAATTCCAATGCCTAATTCTTTTTTCTTATCTTTTGTTGCATTTGTTCAAAATTTTATATATTTTTTGTTTGCTTTATATGTTAAAAATTTCTCTTTTTTTCTATAAGATTTGTTTCTATAATTTTTAATATTGTGACTTTCTCTTTTTTTGCCTAACCAAACAAGTTCTTCAACTTTTAATTTTTAGTTTTTAGTTTATTAACATTATAACATGCTATTTTTAGTATTTTTTCTTCTTTCTATTTTCTTTTAGTAGTATTTGTTTTGTTTTTATACTTTTTACTTATTTTTTTTATACTATTGTTACAAAGTAGATTTTAGCATAGTATATTATATAGTAATATTAGTAATTATATATATATTCATTATTGTATTTTATATTATATTTATTATTAAGTTATTAGTTATTAGTTAGTCAATAGTTATATTATATAGTAGATAGATAAAAGGATCTTAATTGGCTATTAAAAATGTGGTACAGCCACATGACACTGAGTAACATCTGTGATGTTACTATCATTTTACAAACTCCAAGTACTACTGTATAAGTTTCATATATCCTAGCACCAAATTACTGTGCTAAGTGTCATAGCACAAGAATCTCAAGTATTTCTGACATGAACCCCAAGTGTCTCTGCATGAACCTCAGATATTCTTGCACAAATTCCAAGTGCCTTTGTATAGATTTAAGTGTCTAAACACAAACCCAAGTATTTCAAGCATGAATGACAAATAATACAAACAATATCTACAGTTTCTTCTGCACAGTCCCTACTACTCCAAGCACAGTATTATTTAATGTTATTTGAACCTCCACTATTCCAAGTACAATGATATCTAATGTTGTTTGAACCCCCATTACTCTGAGTACAGTATTAAGTAATATTGCTCGAATTTCTACTATCTTCACTAGATAAAAAAGATATAAAAAGGGTAACTTTTACACTTCTCTGCCAATTCTAAGTTTCTATACTTCATCCTAGACTTTTTTACCTTTACCCCTAACTTGTAAAAATGATATTTTACCTCTAAGATAATTCCTACAGGCAAGGTTGTCACTGTGTTTATTTAATAAAAGTTAATTTATATACTGTTACTATTTCGAACTGTTTGCCTGCTATTGTGTAGTAAAGTAAACTACTACACCTCCACTCTGTATATATTTGCAATAATCAATCACTGTACCAGATAACCTTGTTACTTGGTTGTATTGTACCAAGAAGGCTACAACTCTGTAATACTATATTTTTTTTCCTTGACAAGAAGTTTCTATTTTTCCTTTTCTTTTAAACATCTCTTTTTCACTTTACAAAATCTCTTCAATCTTTTTGTCTATATTTATTAGTTCAACTTTGGCATTCTTAAAAGCATTTAGATTAATTTATGTTATTTTTTCTTTATTTTTCTCTAGTTTTTCTAATCTTTTTAGTATTAGGCCTAGTATATTTTTAATATATAAAGTTCATTCTTGTGGCTGAGTTTGTGTTATTTTTTTTTTCTTTATCTTTTTATACTTTTAGTTTTTAATTATTAAGTTTTCTCTATTTTGTTCTTTGCTTTTATAATTATTTTTGGTTTTATTATTTTATTATTTACTTTTTTTTCTTTTGTTATTTTTATATACTTTTTTATTAGAGCTTTCACTATTAATATCTGTTCTCTTATAACTTGCAATATTGTTTTTTTTTTATTTTTCTTTTCTTTTTATATAATTTAGTAAAAATAGTAAGTAATTGTTAAATCTTATTAGCTTTGTTTGTGCTACACTTATTTCTTTCTCTGTTGTAAATATTACTGTTGCTAATCTTCTCTGATTTTTATTTTTATAAATATAATATATACTGATTTACTCCTTTTTTTTTAAGCATTACAATAATAATACTTTTAATATATTACTTAAAATCTTTAATATTCTTACTATAAATTGATTTTATAAATTATGTTGATTAAAGTCTACTTTCTTTACAGTTACTTTTGCCAACTTATGTACACCAATTAGTAAGAACTATAGTACTTTTTTTTCTTTTAACTTTTTTGTTTAACTACTGCTAAGACTTTGTATTTGAATTTTTTAATTGCCGATCCGAATAAGATCGGCACAAATTAAGCATAATTCTATATAAAATTTCAGGGATAAGTATACTAATGATCTATCATATATGAGCAAATCTGAAAGTTTGGTTTTAAAGATCATAAAAAATGACAAAACTCTCCACTGTATTAATAGAAAAGGGGGTGTTAGACGAAAATATTCATTATGGTGCATATTCGTGATACTGGTGGCGGTTTTCTACTATAAGCAAAAAAAAAAAAATTTTCCTATTTGAATTGGTCAAAAAACTAAAATAATTTTAAACGAACATGAATTTTTTATAACGGTTATTATTAACTACTCTGAAAATTCTTTTTTATCTAGGTTTTATTGTGAAAGCAGCTCTTGTTCTAGCATAAACCCGGATTCAACTACAGCAATTTCTACAGTATATAAAGAGATCTTCAATACTCAAACATGTTATTCTGGATTTTTGGCACTTGGATGGACGGACGAATCAATAATTGAACAGCTATTATCAGATGTATCATTTGTTCCTATATTCTCTTTGCTCGGTGAATACAAAATTTTTGTTTCTGGTATTGGATCTTCTTCAAACGCTGAATGGAATCATGGTGGACCGGGATATAAGTCTTCACTTCTACGTAGTGTAAATAGAAAAAGCGTTTTATACTTTTCAACAATAAAAGATAATTTTTGTGCAGTTGAGGTTCATAAAGACTTTGAAATTAAAAACCAGATTGAAGGATCATCTCCAAATGAAGTGTGACAAAAATTAAATATTCAAAAACATACTGGTGTTCAACTTTTTGGGCTCGACGATCTGGATGTGCAATCACTAATTTGCCAACATCATGTTCCTACTTGTTTACCAAAAAACTGGTCTAATTATGCTCTTATGAAGTTTCTTTTTGATTACCATTTAAAACGAAGGATGCTTGCAGATATAAATTGGCATAGTTTATTTCTAAAATGGCAGGAAAGCCAAACTAACATCATTGAACTTTATTCAAGCCTTGAATATATTTATCCTCTGGATTATTAATTTAGTGATCGTGAAATAAGTGCTTGGCGTGCGATGCTTCATGCAAGTAGTTGTCAAAATATAACTCCATGGGCACTTGAAGAATCAAAGGTAAAGTTTAAATTTTCAAATAAAACAAAGACTAATTCATGTTTATTTATTCCTATAATGCAGTATCAATTATGGACGAAAAATGCACTGTATGAAAATGATCGGGATATACTTCAACAATTATACAATTTGGGATTCTTAAATAGCTCACCAAGCTATGTTCCTAATAAAATTCGTATTTTCTGGCAATGCTTTAATCAAGCATTAGCAGATAATAAAAAAACAAAGGATAAAAAAAGACGAATTCTATCAATAATTGCTGACGATTTTAGTTATTCGGAGTTAAAAACCAATTTAGGTGTAAGTATTATTTGGATGATACCAAGGAAAACCAGACTTCAATCATAAATTTATATGATTGAAGTCTGGTTTTCTTTTGGCATCACCCATTTCAAGAAGTTTTATATGAATTTGAATTTGAATAATAATTATATAATTTTAAACTAATATCAATAGGTTGGGAGTCATACAATTTCAGAATTGTAAAAACATGCAAAAATAAATGGATATGGTGCCTTAGCTTTAACAAAACCAGTTATTCATCGCACAAAGTTAACAACTGAGCAGTTAAATCAATTTGAATTATTCTTTACAACTAAAGAAAATGTCAATATGTCTTTATATAAAACAGATGAATCGACAGGTTTACCTATATTATATCTTCAAGATCATAAGAAAGCTTTATGGAATAAATTTCACAAGGAATATCCCAATGGTATGCAGCGCACAACCTTTATGACTCGATTGGAGGGTGGCAGGTTTGTATATAAAGAAAATCTAGGTGGTCTTTGCACTACTTGTAATGAGCTAGGGTATGAGGTTTTTGAAGAACTTGAATCATTAATTAATACTAGAATTAAAAATACTGAGCTTAAGGTATGTTTTTTTTTCAATTTTTTACTTTCGAATACTTGTAAATAAACTAAACTTCTAATGATAAAAATCAAGAAGACGGCTATTTCCACCATGTAAATTTACTGTTCAAGTAAATTTTCATAGTGGAAATAGGTGTCGCCTAAAAAAAAAAAAATAGGAAAATATGCACAGAATAGCTCAAAATTTACGACGATATCTGTGTAAAGATTTTGTTACCAACCTAAAAGTATCATCAATGGGCGTTGCTTTACACTCACTATGTATTAGTTATTGCCTCCAGCACGCATTTGAAAATTGCCATTTAGACTATCCCGAAATTTGCAAAAATTGTAGCAACTTATTTACCTTTTTTGATAACCTAAAGGCGAATATGAATGATGAGTTTCATGAATCTTTAATTGAGTATCAAAATCAACTAATTTGTTTTATGGCTCATTACGCATGAAAGACATATCTTAATGCACAATTGAATGTCAAACTTGCTCGACTTGATACGAATGGGGCTTTGTTTATTGTGAATTATAAAATGAGAATTCTCTCACAAAGTGCACGAGAAACAAAACCTGAGTTCTTTGGCAAACGTGGCTGGACCCTCCATTCTGTCCTTATATACACCAAAAATGCCGAGACTAGTAAGCTTGATATTCAAGCATTTGATCATTGGAGCAGTGATACTAAGCAAGACGCTTGGTTTACCGCGTCCTTACTTCATGCTGTACTTGAAAGCCTAGATCATATGCCCAAATGGGTTACTATTGTTTCGGATAATGGTCCTCATTATCACAATACTGAGCTGATGATAATATTAGGAAAGTGGAAAGAATGGTATGATGTTTATGTGAAAAAATAGCTATTTCTAGAAACTGGTGAAGCTAAAACCTTGATAGATTCTCATTATGCACAAGTTTGTATAAAAAAAAAATATATATATATATAAGTTATATATATATTATAATAATAATAATAAGGGTGTGGCGACCTAGTGAAGTGGTCAGGTTGTCAACCCTCCAAGTGGTAGGTTGGGTGTTCAAATCCCATC